CCTGCCTCCACCTCCCAAGTAGCTGGGACTACAGGCGCCCGCCACAACGCCCGGCTATTTTTTGGTTGCAGCCGTCATTGTTGTTTGGCGGGCCCAGGCTGGATTCGAACCCACCACCGTGGGTATACATGGCTGGCGCCTTAGCCACTTGAGCCACAGGCGCCAAGCCTGAAGTACAGTTTACATATCCACAAATTCATAATGGAGTTAACAGAGGCAGACATTTGATCTACTTATTCCAGTTACACCCACATCTGTTTAGCTAACCACTGTATCCCAGGCACCAAACACAAGGCAGTAACAATCCAGTATTTCATTGTCTACCAAACCTAGCTGCCCTACCTGCCTTCATCACATGCACTGTGATGCCAGCATTGATGTGCCAGTGTCTTTTTTTGTTTGTTTTTCTTTTTTTGGAGACAGAGTCTCATTCCGCTGCCCCAGCTACTGTGTTGTCATCATAGCTCACAGCAACCTCAAACTCTTGCGCTCAAGTGATCCTCTTGCCTCATCCTCCCAGAGTGCTAGGATTACAGGCATGAGCCACCATATCTGGCCTATGAGCCAGGGTCTTTAATTAAATATTGAGAAGACTTCTAAGGATATCCACTGCAAGTGAGTGTTTCTCAGTAACTACTCCTAGCAGTCAAGAATTATTTGTTCATCTTTACAAAGACCTACAAGAAATCAGGGATGCTGTGCTTTCAAAGTTAACTATATTTCCTTTGTATTTATAAGTGTGACTCTATTAGATACATCATTCACAAACTTACTCATTTTCCAAAGATGTACTGTATATACGAATATATGGGGGTTTTTGTTTGTTTTTGTTTTTTTAGAGACAGTCTCACTTTATCACCTTGGTAGAGTGCTATGTTGTCATAGCTCACAGCAACCTCCCAACTCCTGGGCTTAGGTGTCTCTCTTGCCTCAACCTCCCAAGGAGCTGAGACTACAGGTGCCCAGCACAACACCTGGCTATTTTTTGTTGCAATTTGGCTAGGGCCGGATTTGAACCCTCCACCCTCGGTATACTGGCGCCCTACCCACTGAGCCAGAGGCGCCACCCACATGAATCTATGTTATTTGCTACAAGGGATATAACGAGTAAGACTCAGACCCTATTTTTTAACTCTAGGATTATTTATTTATTTATTTATGAGATAGAGTCTCACTCTGTCACCCTGGGTACAGTGCCATGGAATCATAGCTCATAGCAACCTCAAGCAATCCTGAGCTAGGCTGAGGCTTCCAGAGTAGGTGGGACAACAGGTGCCTACCACAACACCTGGCTAGTTGTAAAGACAGGTCTCACTCTTACTCAGGCTAATCTCGAACTCCTGAGCTCAGGCGATCCACCTGCCTCAGCCTCCCAGAGTGCTAACATTACAGGTGTGAGCCACCGTGCTCAGTAAACTCTAAGATTTTAGAAAACAGAAGTTAGAAAGTGAAATGCTGGAGATGAGCTACAGATGAAATGCTGTGAGAGTTCTAATGAGGACAACTGTTATTACCCAAGAAGTATAAAGAAGATTTTGTGAAAAATAGCCTTTGAAAGAGACCTTGGAGGGTGGTAAGATTTGGAAATTCACAAAAAGGTTTAAGGAAGGGCATTATCAAAGAAAAGGTGGGCTCGGC